TTGCCCAACCTTCCTTCCGAGGAGTGGCTGGTGGGTTTGAACCGCCAGCCTTCTGGTTAGCGGTCAAGTGCTTTAGCCACTATGCTACCAGAGCTGGGGAGAAAGTCTGGATTATGAAACCAATACCAAGATGAGACATCTCCATACAAATGGAAGAGTTTTACTGTAATACTGCAGTATTCTAAAAGACAAAAGACATGACTGTGATTGTTCTAACAGCAAGTGAATGATGACCAGTAAGTAGGAAGGAAATTGAGGCTTAGCTTCTCTTTCTATTCTTTAGAACTGTTCAACCAAACATTCTCAGAAGGACACTAGCTAGGTTCAAGCAATTATACTTTACAAGATTATCCGACAGGACAAGATGGCTGCACTGTATTCAGCTATTCTTGAAAAACCAAAAACAAAATTCAATGCCATTGAATTGATTCTGACTCACAGCAACCCCCACCGTGTTTCCCAGGTGGTAATGGTGTAGTGCCTAAGGCATCTATCTGACTGCTAACCAGAAGGCTGGCAGTTCAAAGCTGCCAGCCACTCCTTGGAAGGAAGACTGCACAATCTACTTCCATAGTGATACTATCTTGGAAACCCAAGGGAGGGGTCCTGTGGTAGTTAAATTTGTATGTCAACTTGGCTGGGCCTGGTTGAGTGGCTGGGAAGCTGGTGGTAGTTATTCCCCATGATAAGACTAGCAAGCAACTCCATGGTGGGATCTACCCCAAGCAGCTGAGTAGCTGCCTTTGGGATGTGGTCTGCTTCCTGTATATAAGGAGAAGGCTTGGGGATAGTCTTTAGCATATGGAAAACTTGAACCCTGCATGTAGCTGTGTTGTTCAGCAGTCTGCCATGCTCTGCTGACCTTGGGACTTATAATGGACTTGAATTAATGGCCTACCGTGTGGTTTGGTAACATCAGGACTGTGCCATTTTATTTGTCAACCTTGGGCTTGTTAGCCTCAGCAACCAGTAGCTGCCTGAGTGAAGAAAAGCCTCTAGCTTCAGTGGGCTGGGAGTAAGAGGCAGAGCTGAAGCCCAAGGTCGAGGGGCTTTTACACAGCCCCTAGAGCCTGGCAATTTGAACTCAGACTTCTAGCCTCCCAAACAGGAGAATAAACTCCTGTTTGTTCAAGCCATTCCATTTGTGGTATATTCTTGTCACAGAAGCACTAGGTAACCAGCACAGGTCCCTATGAGTTGGAACCAACTTGATGGCAGTGAATTTGGCTTTTTTTTTTTTTAAGTCTTTACGGAAGTAGATTGCCCCCTCTTCCTTCTATAGAACAGCTGGTGGGTTTGAACATCAACCTTCTGGTTAGCAAATGCTTTAGGCACTATGTCAAAGCAAGCTAATAGTTATTGGACTGGTACTTTATTCTTGGAACAATTCCATGACTAGATTTATTACCAGTTTCATAGAACAAATAATAACTCGTCCAACATTACAAAGGTAGTAAAAGGCAAAGAAAGTATGCAAATCCAGGCTAGTCCAGCCTGATACCAATGTTTTACTCTACACCACACCGCCTTCCAGGCAGAGTACCAGGAGACCAATTCCCTCTAAGCAGAAGGGAAAACACATGCCATTAAGATATAAAGAATCCTTTTAAAAATGTAATGGCTCACAGAGTTTGTAATGAAGAACACTGCATGATTGGCAGTGCTTGAAATCCTACATGGAAATGTAAAGATTTCTTTATATCTAAGTTCAAAAGCAATTCAAAAGTTCAAAAGCATAAGTAAATTCCTAATGAAGATGGGGCTGATAAAGAAAGACAGGATAACATCTTAATTCATACGTAGTATAGATACCCCTAAAGGAGATTTTCAGTGAGTTTGAAAAACAGCGTTGCCATTTCATATGCCACTACAGAGGGAAGGGGACAACAGCAATTATACAGCAGATCTTGGAGATGACTTTTCTGACTGAAGTACTGCTGCTAAGACAAACAAAGCCAAAACCAAATCCACTGTCATTGAGTTGATTCCAAATCATAGTTACTCTATAGGACAGAGTAGAACTGCCCCAAAGGGTTTCCAAGACCATAAATCTTTATGGAAGCACATCACATCTCTTTACTGAAAAGTGGCTGGTGGGTTTAAACCAACAACCTTTTGGTTAGCTAGTGAGATTTAATCACTGCACTACCAGGATTCCTTCTGCTAAGATAAAGGTCTTCCGAATTAAAGAATGGAGGCATAAACGTTCATAGGGAAGTGTAATTGGGGAACTATCATATTATTTGTTTATAATGGAGTTTGGAAAGGAAATTTTGAGAACCAAGGTGTTAGTAAAAAGGAATCAATTTCTTAGCTTTGAAAGTGCTATTGTGAGAGTTATGGTTGGTGTCAACTTGGCTGAGCTGTGGTTTTGAGTGGCTTGGCAGCTGGATGCAGTTATTTCCCATGATGATATTGGAATCAAGTCCATGGTGGTATCTGCTGTGAGCAGCTAATTAGTTGTGCCTGAGGTGTGGCCTGCTTCCAGTATATATGAGGAAGCTTTGAGGAAGTTCTCCAGTTCTTTGGCACATTTTGGATCCTGTATTTGGCAAAGTTTTCAACTCTAGTTCTTGGACATGAACCATGGGACTGTCAATTTTGGGACTGTTCCTGGACTTGAACTAGTGGCCTGCCATGTACCTACTGATCTTGGGATTGTGCCATTCTAGTTGCTGACCCTGGGTTTGTCAGCCTCAGCACCCAGCAGCTGCATGAGTTACAAGAAGCTTCTAAGTCTAGTGGGCCTGGAACGGGGGGCAGAGCTGAAGCTCAAGGTTGAGGGGCCTGCACCCAGCTCCTAGAGCTGGCACTATGAACTCGGACTTCTAGCCCCCTAAACTGTTTTACTTATACCACATTGCCTTCCAGGCAGAGTACCGGGAGACCAATGTCCTCTAAGCAGAAGGGAAAACATATGCCAGAATAAATCCGTTTGTTAAAGTCATCTATTTGTGATACTCTGTTACAGCAGCGCTAGAGAACCAAGAAAGCTATAAACACAGCAAAGTGATGACTTACCACCAAAGAGTAGAGCAACAGAGATGAACACAGAATCACAGTTCTAGCTCTCTATTTATCAGTCCTGTGACTACGTAGGTCTGTGTCTCTGAGCCTCAAATTCCTCAGTCATATTACATTACGCGGAAGTATGTATGCTCTAAGTTCTAAAACAGAGCTGGAGCTTCATCTAAGAGGGGTAAATTTAGCCTTTCAATGGCCTATTAAAGAGGAGCCCTGGTGGCACAATGGTTAAGTGCTTGGCTGCTAACGCAAAGGCCAGCAGTTTGAACCCACCAGCTGCTCCATGGGAGACTGATGTGGCAGTCAGCTGTTGTTAAGATTACAGCTTTGGAAACTCTATGAGCAGTTCTACTCTGTCCTATTGAGTTGCGATGAGTCGGAATCGACCTGACAGCAACTTTTTCTTTCTTTCTTTCTTTTAGTTACAGGAAAGAGAAACAATGTGGTACCCCTATGTCTATGGTTATGCCCCACCAGTAATTGAGAAAGGGTATTAATTAGTGTTGATAAGTATCATCTGTGAGCCTGAGAGAAAAAGGGCTGGAGTTATTTTTAAATTTTTCATCTTTTGCTAGGGGATAATGATGTGTATCTGGTGGCTCTGGTTCCATCTCTGGTGGTTTACTGCAGCTCCATGAGCCCAGCTGTCCTAGTTCAGGGCTCTGGCTCTCCTTCTCTTGGTAAAAAAATCAATCAATAAATAAAAATTAGGGCATGACAAGAAGATGAGTCCTAACCATCCTAG